CCCAATTATTTTACTATTTTTATTAAGAATGTTCTTGAGCATACTGTATCAGTATGTTGTAAATAAAATGTAATGATTTGCTGCTGAAATATATTATCATGTCCATGTTTAGTGCCATCATTTTGGCAATTTGAAACAAACCATGGTGACCATATTTACAAAAGGGAAATTATGGTGCCTAAAAGATTTCCCACATACATTATTTAAATAGGTTTTTATCAGTGTGAACTCTGAAGTATTGAATTAAGTGAGATCTTTGACTGAAGGGCATCCCACACTCAGTACAGTCATATGGTTTCTCTATAGTGTGAATTATGTGGTGTCTAGTGAGGTGAGACCTTTGAGGAAAGGACATCCCACATTCCCTATACTCATATGGCTTTTCTCCAGTGTAAATTCTCTGATGTAGAATCAGGGTAGATCTCTGAAAGGACTTCCCAAAGTCTATACCAGGGGTCCTCAAACTTTTTAAACAGGGGGCCAGTTCACTGTCCCTCAGACAGTTGGAGGGCCGGACTATAGTTTAAAAAAAAACTATGGCCCTGGCCAGTTTGGCTCGGTGGATAGAGCATCGGCCTGCAGGCTGAGGGGTCCCAGGTTCAATCCCGGTCAGGGGCATGTGCCTTGGCTGCGGGCACATCCCCAGTGGGGGGTGTGCAGGAGGCGGCTGATCGATGTTTCTCTCTCATCGGTGTTTCTGGCTCTCTATCCCTCTCCCTTCCTCTCTGTAACAATAAAATATATATATATTTTTTAAAAAAACACAAAACTATGAACAAATTACTATGCACACTGCACATATCTTATTTTGAAGTAAAAAAACAAAACGAGCACTAATACAATATTTGTATTTGCATGTGGCCTGTGGGCCATAGTTTGAGGACCCCTGGTCTATACACTCATATGTCTTTCCTCCACTGTGAACTTTCAGGTGTCTAATAAGGCTATATTTTAAGATAAAAGACCTGCTACAATCAGAACACTCATATGGTTTTTCTCCAGTTGAACACTCTTATGTCGAAGGGAGTTTAAGATTCGTCTAAAAACTTTCCTACATCTATTACACTCATAAATCAGTTCTCCAGAACAGACACGCTCACAGTCAACAACTTTCAGGTTGTGGCTGGCAGCAATTTCATATTCACCCCACTGGCAATGACTTCTTACATCAAGAAATTCCTGTGAAATCTCACTGCCACTGTGTGGCTCCTCAGTGTTGAGAGTGGCCTGGTGCTGGAGAAGATCTGAGATTGCAAGTCATTCCCAACCTCCCTGCTAGTTGAAAGCACCAAAGTAGAAGCTGCACCTGCTCACAAAGGAGGCCCTGTCCATAGCTTCATTCCAGTGCTTCTCTCCACAGGCATCCCTCTGTTGCTGGTGAGGGTTTGCACTGAAACAGAAGTCTCCAACACACGCATCACTACAGAAGGCTTTCTGCTCAATGTATGCTGCTGTGACTCAGTCAGGTGCAAAATATCTTTTAACACAGAGAAACACTGCTTACACAGAGGGTCTTCTGGATGGCTGGAGCTGTCTTAGAAGCCCTGACCTGTGACTCTCCTTGAGAGATACACTCTGATGACAACAGGCCTTCTCATCATACGTTTTATGCCAACAACCTGAAAAGTGAGAAATGGTTGAATGTGGTGACAGGGGGAAGTCCCATGGCAAAAGTGTGTTGCACATCATACTTTGTTCCCATGTAATTGTCTGAAAATAAGAGATGTGCAGGAAGGATTAATAAAATGTCCTTATGAATTTCTGGGCCGATGAAGATCACAATACAGGGAGGCCTCACCAGAAATATGACACAAACATGGCAAGCACTACATGGATAAGAATATGAATCTCCAGCTCATCCTTCAACAATCAGTATTCATCAGGGCTTCTTGACTGGGGAAGGGGCAAGCTGTGCAAGAGGTTGGTTAGGTCTTATTCCAAGTAAAATTAAATTAAAAAGTAGCAGGTGTCAAGGACTATGTAAGCACACATGTGCACCTCATAACACATGTGCAAATCAATGTTGCAGAATACTGCAGAAGCAGCAGTGCAAAGGAACAGGTAATAAAGAGATGAGCGGCCAGCTTTTGCCCAGAGCAACATAGCTTGCTATAGTATTCAGGGAAGAGAATATTACAAACTATTCAATGAATGTCTTGTAAGAACAGCCCATGGAACATGTAAGTAAAGACCATAACATGGCATAGGTTGCCACAAAGAACCTTTACCTAGAGAAAGAGTTGCAGCCATGCATGTGGACACTGTCAGCCTCCAATGAAGAGAAAGTACAAGCTTGTACCCATTAAGCTCACTGCAAGACTCCTGACTTCCTGTACTTTTTGAGGTAACGGATGTTAGGGATGTTCGTGGAGTCCTTTGCTCAGGGCTCTCCATCCAGCTCATCCCTGGCAGCCACAGCACATTTGACAGGACAGTGGGGGAAATTAGCAGAGCCCATGCTCTGGCTGTGGGAGAGAGAAAGCTATGGCTGAGGAATAAAGGAAGAGAGGTCATCACCTCAGGAAACTGGGAGAACTTGAAGGTCTTTTCTACAGATTACATAAGTGCAAAAACTTCCAGCATCACATCACAGTACAGAAGCCTCTGAGCCTCATCAAGGAGCACCCACTTCCACGTCCTCAAAGTTCACATCCTGCCATAATGGGGACAGTATAGCCCAGGGGTGGGCAAACTTTTTGACTCGAGGGCCACAATGGGTTCTTAAACTGGACCGGAGGGCTGGAACAAAAGCATGGATGGAGTGTTTGTGTGAACTAATATAAATTCAAAGTAAACATCATTACATAAAAGGGTACGGTTTTTTTTTTCAATAGTTTTATTCATTTCAAACGGGCCGAATCCGGCCCGCGGGCCGTAGTTTGCCCACGGCTGGGATAGCCCATGATCAGATTCACTCTTAAGATTCTAAGTCTGTCTCTAGTCCCTACCCTCCACATCCATCTTCTATCTCCACTCTACATATCAGAGAAAACACCAGGCCTTCATCCCTTGAAAGCCACTGTCTTCTTATATTCCTACTGATATTTTGTCTTCCCACAAAAATAAAGGCAGTTGAGCAGCTAGAAGATACCTGAGCTCGGGAGCTCCCATGTACGCCACACTGACTCCTATCAATAGAGTGGGTGTCAAAATCATAGGTTAAAGAGAGATGCTGTCCATAAAGAGAGAGTAAGTGATTTGATATTGGCCTTGTCAGGCAATACCCTTGTAGACCCTCAGATTGTTTCTCAAAGACACCAAATACATGGCATCACACTTCACCCTCTTGACCCTGTGAGACCCCGAAGAAGGACCCTCACTCTGTCCCACAGATCGACGGCGACCCCAATCAACCGCAGGAGACGTCACATGATGCAAACAGCAAGAAGCATTATTCCAGCGCGCTGGGGCTCAATTCGTAACTCACGCAGGAGCAGAGGAGTTGGGCCCCGAGCAGAGAGTCTTCCAGATATTTATAGGCAAAAATTACACATGGGGGGGGGGTTGCATGCAGGAGGGGAAGAGGGGAACAGAGGAATTCCAAAGGGGTCTGGGTTGTGTCCTGACAAGGCTGAAGGTTTAGTCATCATTCCTGCCTGGTATTTTCACATCCTGTTTATCTCAATGGTTAATCGGAGAATGGCTTGCTCAGCCTGCTCTTTGTGTCTGGGATATTTCCTAGAACAGTCTTAAGGGCTTGGTTCCTCTTGTTCCTATCTTTAGGGGGGAGGAACCTGGGGAGTTGAGATAAAGCAGGCAGCTAGGCCTGTGCAGTTTGTAACATTCTTTTATTCTTTCATTCCCCCATTTGCTTTTTGTAAGTTCTAATCATGGAACTTCTGTCTCTAGATATTCCTTTCCGAAGCTTTCTCCTTGGTGGAGAGACTGGTATTGCTGCCTGAGCATTAGTGCCTGCACGGCGCTTATTCTTTCTCTGACGAAGTTGACCAATCTGTTTAAGATACAGGGTCCAAAAGTAAGAATTAAAAGCAATATGATAAGGGGACCCATAAGGGTGGATATGAGGGTGGTGAGCCATGGGGATCGGCGGTACCAGCTTTCAAACCACCCTTGATCGGCTTCCCGGTCCCGTTGCCGTGCCTCTAGCCTTTCTCTGAGTTTAGCCATGGAATTTTTTATTACCCCTGAATGATCTACGTAAAAACAACATTCTTCTTTTAATGCAGCACACAGTCCACCATCCTTTAAGAATAGGAGGTCTAAGCCTCGTCTATTCTGTAATACTACCTCAGATAAGGAAGTTAGTGACTCCTCTAATTTTGTGATAGACTGTTCTACAGCTTTTAAGTCTTCATCTACTGCCACTCGTAATTCCTCAATGTACTGGGGGGTTTGAATGAGCGCAGTTGTTTCAGTTCCTACTCCAGCTGCTACTCCCAGTCCCAGCAGCACTGCTAGTGTGAGTGAGATTGGTTCTCTCTTCTGCCTACGGGGTTGTAGATCAAACTCAGCCTCAAAGGAACCCGCGTCATGGTAGACAACTCTAGGCACCAACTGCACGAGGACACAGTAGTCCATGGTGGTGTTAAACACCGATGAGGACACACATGGGGTCAGCCCCGTACTGCAGGCCCACCATCCACCTGGGGGGGAGGGGACAAGATAGTAGTTGGTAATCGTTTGGGGGCTATCTATGGTCCGGTTGCACAGATGCTTACGGTTTGTGGGAACTGTGCCTAAGCAAGTACCTTGTCCAGAGACTTCTGTGAGAGTGAGTTTACTGTTTGTCCCTCCTTCTCTTGCAGCCTGTTGGGAAGGAAGTGCCATCCGTACCCGAAGAGTGAACAATCCCCCGTGGTCCCTATACCCGAGCCGGTGTTTATCATAGAAACGTATTCCCCAGGTCTTACCGGTGTCCCACCCTGTCACCTTTTTCCCCTGCTCTGTGAAAGATATTCTCACGGGGTTACAAGGTTTATCATCTCGGCCGCATGGCGGGCTATTCGGCCGCCCGACGGCAATTAGGTCACCTGTTTTCTGGGGAGTCCACCATGTATGTCCCTTTGAGACACACGACCACGAGGCACAAAAATAGTCCTCCGCTCCTCCACATGGGTCCTTGGTGCGGCCTTGTGGAGTCCGAGAGTGCCCGGGGCAGACATAGAAGTGATGTCTCCGGGCAAATTTGGGGTCCCATTGGACGCGAATGAGGGAAAGCAGGTCTACATAGAGGTCCGGGTACCAAGTGTCTTTAGGGCTCATCTGGGAGGTCTGATTAAGTACAGTCCCCGAACTGGTGTCTATGATTTGCCAAGTAAGGCAAAGGGGGGCATGAGGGTTAGGGCTACTTATCGGTAGGAGGTGCATCAGTTGGAACAGGAACACGGCGAACGCGGAGCTTGAGGGGGTTGTCCATCTTTTCCACTTTCCACGCTGGGTTCGGGGAAGGCGCGGGCTTGACATGCGAGGTGTGGATCCAGGCAGCGACGCCATCGACCCTTTACTGCCGTCGGGGTCGTGAGCAGCACTATGTATGGTCCTTTCCACCTCGGTTCCAAGCTGGCCGCACGATGGTGCCGAACGTACACCGAGTCTCCGACCTGGAACTGATGAGGTACTTGTAGGTCTTCTGGCTTGTAGGCCTCGGCAGGCCGATTCCACACTTCCCTCTGCACAGTCTCAAGGGCTTTTAATCTGGTGTACAGAGATTGAGAGGGGTAAGACTCTGGGGAGGGAAGGAGCTGCATGGCAATGAGTGGGGGGTGAGTTCCATAGAGGATTTCAAAAGGAGTTAGTTTGAGGGTGCCGGGAGTATTGCGGACCCGGAATAAGTCCAATCTGTTATGCCAGTCTCTACAGATAATTTAGTCATAGCCTCTTTTGAAGTTCTATTCATTCTTTCTACCTGCCCTGAGCTTTGGGGCCTGTAAGCACAGTGTAATTTCCAATCGAGCCCCAGGATTTTGGCCAGTCCCTGACTTACCTGGGCAACAAATGCGGGGCCATTGTCCGACCCGCTTACCTTAGGCACCCCGAATCTCGGGAAGATGTCTTCTAATATTTTCTTGGCGACCATCTGAGCAGTCTCCTTCTTGGTGGGGAATGCTTTGACCCAGCCTGAAAATGTATCTATGAATACCATTAAGTATCTGTTATCCATACCTGGCGGGTTTCACCTCAGTAAAGTCCACCTCCCAGTAACTCCCAGGGCGGTCTCCTCGGAGCCGCTTGCCTTGAGATAGCTTGCTGGGCTGGGCGTTCACCATTTGGCAGGGCCTGCACTCCTTTACAGTTGTATCGGCGAGCTCCCCTAGTTTCATGATATAATACGGTGAAGACTGGGCAATAGTTCTTAAATGCTTTGGGCCCAGATGAGTTAACTTATGAAGGTGTCTGAGGAAAATAACAGCCTGTTTTTCCGGGAGGATTCTTTTCCCTTCCGAGGTTTCCCAGATCCCTCCCGGAGTTTCCAGGCAGAAGCCTAATCTATCCATCCTCTCAAGGTCTGTTTCTGAGTATTCAAAGTTTCTAATAGAGGGGTATATCCCGTCCTCAGGGTGAGGCCTCGGTTTCTCCCTGGTCAAGGATAGGATGTTAAGTCCCTGAGCTGCTTGCTTGGCTTCTCTATCAGCCCTTTGGTTTCCTTTGGCAACTCTGGACCCTCCTTTCTGGTGTCCGGAACAATGAATAATTGCCACTTTCTTAGGGAGGTGGATGGCTTCTAGCAGGCTTAGTATTTCCTCTTTATTTTTGATTTCTTTCCCGGCCGAGGTTAGTAGCCCCCGCTGCCGGTAGATGGCACCATGGACAAGGGCGGTGGCAAAGGCATACCTGCTATCAGTATAAATGTTAATCTTCTTTCCCTCTGCCAGTCGTAGGGCCTGAGTTAACACTAGTAACTCGGTCTTCTGTGCCGATGTCCCTTCGGGCAGGCTACTTGCCCAGATAATTTGCTCATCGTCCACCACCGCCGCCCCGGCCACCCTTTTACCTTCTATTATGTAGCTGCTTCCATCAGTGAACCAGGTTAGCTGAGCGTCTGGCAGGAGTTGGTCTTGGAGGTCCTCTTGGGTCCCCGTTTCTTCTGCCAGTATCTCTTGACAAGTGTGCAGCACACTCTCCTGGGTGGACGTGTCAGGTAGTAGGGTAGCCAGGTTTAGGATGGCGGGGGGGCCGAACAGGATCCTGTCTCCATTTAGGAGGAGACTCTGGTAGTGTGTCATACGGGTGTTGGACAGCCACTGGTCAGGGGGCTGTCTGATGATGCTCTCCAGGGAGTGGGGGGCGATGACTGTTAGCTTCTGCCCCATTGTTAATTTGTCAGCATCCTTTACCAACACTGCTACTGCCGCCACGGACCTCAGACAGGCAGGCCAGCCGCTAGCCACCGGATCCAGCTTCTTAGAGAGGTAGGCTACCGGCCTCTTCCATGGTCCTAGAGGCTGGGTTAGCACTCCTCGGGCTATTCCCTTTCTCTCGTCCACATATAGGACAAAGGGCTTGGCTACGTCCGGTAATGCCAGGGCTGAGGCTGATAGCAATGCCTTCTTGATGTCATCAAAGGCCTGCTGTTGGCCATCACTCCACTCAAACGGGGCACCCTCTCTAGTTAGAGGATAGAGGGGAGCGGCCAGGGTAGCGAATCCGGGGATCCACAAGCGGCAGAACCCCACAGCCCCTAAAAATTCTCGCACCTGGCGGGGTGAGTGAGGAGCAGGTATCTGGGTCACGGTCCGTTTCCTGGCTTCCGTTAGCCACCTCTGCCCCCCTTTCAGGGCATACCCCAGGTACGTTACCTCTCTTTGGCAGATCTGGGCCTTCTTGGCGGAGGCTCGATATCCTAGGCAGGTGAGTTCTTCTAGCAGCAGTCCTGTGCCCCGTCGGCACTCCTCTTCTGTGGCCCCAGCCAGTAGTAGGTCATCCACGTACTGCAGGAGCGTTACCTGGGGGTGGCTGGCGCGGAAGTGGGCTAAGTCCTGATGGAGTGCTTCATCGAAGAGGGTCGGGGAATTCTTGAAGCCCTGGGGTAGTCGGGTCCAAGTCAGTTGTCCTGTAGTCCCAGAGTCAGGGTCCCTCCACTCGAATGCAAAAATGTTCTGGCTGGACGGGTGCAGTCGCAGACAGAAGAAAGCGTCCTTTAAATCTAGGACAGTATACCATACATGGTCCGGGGGGAGAGAACTCAGCAAACTGTAAGGGTTAGGTACTGTGGGGTGGATATCCTGTACCCGCTTGTTTACTTCCCTTAAGTCCTGTACTGGGCGATAATCTCCTGTGCCGGGCTTCTTAACAGGTAGAAGGGGAGTGTTCCATGGCGACTGACATTTCACTAGGATGCCTTGCCGAAGGAGGCGCTGGATATGGGGCCTAATTCCTTCCCGGGCCTCCTTCGTCCTGGGGTATTGGCGTACAGCCACAGGAGTAGAAGTGGCCTTAAGCTCTATGACTACAGGTGGCCTTCCTGTAGCTAGTCCTGTTCCGGCCGTCTCGGCCCATGCTCCCGGATACTTGTTCAACCAATCATTTATGTGACTCACTTCTGCCCCTTGTTCCTCGAAAAGTCTATGCTCATCATCTAGGCGTATGGTCAGAGCTCTAAGATAATCCACAAGATTGACTGTAACTCCCCACATACAGGCCACACCAAGGGTCACAACAAAATCCTGGTGAGTGTTTAGAGAAGTAAATATGTACCAGCCCTAGTCTCATCTTGTTTGAGTAACTTTTTGGCCTCCAGTTAATCTCAGGTCCACTCAACTTTTAATGGCCTTGGCTACAGCAAAACCATTCTCTCTCCCCAATACTCTACATGACAACTTCTGTACCTATGTTGTGTTGTGACACCCACCTCCCACAAATAGTGGCCCCAGCAGAAAAGCCAGTCCTCGGGCTCACAATGTCCCTTCTTAGCTTCTACTACCATTACCAACCTGACCATGATTCTCTATATTAAAGTGATCTACAGTCCTGGTTGATGTGACTCAGTTGGCTAAGCATTGACCCATGCACTGGTGAGGTCACATGCCTGGACTGTCGGCTGGATCCACAGTCTCTCTCTCTCTCTCTCTCTCTCTCCTTTTACATCTAAAATCAATATATACATATATATATATACATACATATATATGTATGTATGTATATATATATATATACACACACACTCACATATATATATATTTTAAAAAAAAAAAAAAACATAGCTGCTGGTTCCCGAATCAGCTCACTCTTCACTCCCAAGCCTTTGCACATTCTGGGACCTATCCCCTGGAGGACCTCCCACTCATTACACTGGTTGCCAAAAACAAGGTCCACTCCATGAAGTCCTAGTCGTGGCCTTAGGATCCTGGCTTAGTGTCTGTTCAAAGTACCCAGGTCCAAGGGCTACCAGAGCGGCTGGACAATCCCAGCACACCACTATCACAGAAGCCACAAGAGTGTGAGGCCCTGAAGTAAGCTGCACACACTGGTACACCTAATTCATTCTTCATTGGCAGGAATTTGAGAAAAGAAAATGGTCTGCTGAGACCCTGGCAAACACCACCAAGATCTAGGGGCTCAGGCTGCTCAGTGCCCTTGCCCAGCCCAGAGGCCAGGTGCCCTCCAGATGCCTGTGTTATCTCAGGGCTCAGTCCTCAGTGCATACTCTTGCCAGTTACTTTCTCATTCACAGGACTTCTCCTTCCTGTTTCCAGCGGCTGTCCTCTGTCTTCTAGTCTGTTCTTCCTCTAAGTAATGTTAGGAAAAGGTAGAACCCTACCTCAGAAAATGTCCCTGTTTTTTTTTTTTCACAACCATCTATTTGTTAGGTCTGATCAAATAATTGAACCGATACCCCCTCACCTGGGAACTGACCTTTATGCCATTTCACAATGGACATTCTACTTGCTTAGACCACATTCCACTTGCTAAGACCATTCTCTCTCCCTCTGGAGTTTCCCAGAATCCAGACCTGCACAGAGAATTCTCCACTCAGAAAAAGCCCACCTAGAGTCCTTTAAAAACCTCTGGATCCCCACGGTGCTGGTGCCATTTTGGGGTTCAGCCCATCTGGTATCCAAATGACCTAATAAATTCATAATTCTTTACCCTTTTTGGCCTCAAGTATTCTTCCTTTGGTGACGCTAACATTTGGTGCTGAAATCCAGGAGGATTCTGTGAGGATGGGGAGCCATCACCCTGGCTTCGGTCACCCCGAGTTTGCTACTTGGAGAGCAGTAGGCAGTGGCAACTCAACCTGGGCTTACCTCCAAATCCAATTCATGTAACTTGATTGCCGGCCTCAATTAGGCCTCCCTCCCTTATGGACCCTCCTGAGCCAACCAAGGAGGATGCAAGATCAGGAACCGCTCCTCCACTGCTGACCCTCCATCCCACACCATCCAATCTTCTCTAGGTGAGTGGCAATCCACAATTTACCTCATCTGGAGTCTTCTACCCACTCTCTCTCACTGACTTCTCGAAAGTCTCTCATCTCAAAAGTCCTACCACTAAGCCAGAGACTCTTCAGCCATTTGGCTATGGGTCCTTCTGGATTGAGGACACCCAGTCCATGGGGTCTGTCACTCACCCTTCCTCTCTCGTGGGCCACGCATACTCCCTCTGCACACTCACGGGGGATACCATGCCCAACCACCTCATATTGCTTTGCAACACTGATCACAATATAAACTCGATGAGAAGTCTCAATGGCCTGAAAATGGCACTTTTAATTTTAACACATTGCACAATTTCGATAACTGCTGTCACCAGAATGGAAAATGGTTAGAGATTCCCTATGTCCAGACCTTTTTCACCCTTCAGTCCCAATCCTCTCAGTTCTGCTCTACCCATCAGATCTTTCTCCTTCACACAAAACATCATACCCCTAACACTTCTGATTCTGAATTTACTATTTTTTTTAATTGATTAGCTTAAATCTTCAGGACAACTCTGGTTTTTTTTAAAATTTTATTTCTTTATTGATTTCAGAGAGGAAGGAAAGGGACAGAGAGATAGAAACATCAATGATGACAGGGAATCATTAATCAGCTGCCTCTTGCATCCTCCTTACTGGGGATCGAGCCTACAACCCAGGCATGAGCCCTTGGCCAGAATCAAACCTGGGACACTTTAGTACACAGACTGACGCTCTATCCACTGAGCCAAACTGGCTAGGGCTGAATCTACTTTTGACCCAGCAGACCACCGACCTCCACTCCCTTACACATCTCTTCCCTCATCTGTGATAGATTCCCAGACCCTCTTAACCTGCAACCACTTTCTCCCCCAGGCCCTGAGAGCCCAAATCCCAAGAACTTGAGCTCCAATACAGCCTTTTTCCACCTAACACTTGCTCTAGGGCCACCCTAAGATTGCCTTCCTCAATAGCTGCTTCTATTCCTGTGCCCATTCTACTCCCGAGGAAGGGAGCAGGAACTGAGAGTATTGTCTGGGTATACATCCCATTTTCCATGTCTGACCTCACACAGATTGAGAGGCATCTCAGGTCTTTTTCCACCGACCTGATCACCTTTACTAAAGAATTTAAGTACCTGACCCAGTCCTATGACCTAACCAGGCATAAGATCTAAGTCATCCTGTCGTCCTCTCTCCCCCCAGAGGAGAAGGAGCACATCTGTAGCAGCTCAGGAACACGCTGTGCCCTAATCCCAAGAACTTGAGCTCCAATACAGCCTTTTTCCACCTAACACTTGCTCTAGGGCCACCCTAAGATTGCCTTCCTCAATAGCTGCTTCTATTCCTGTGCCCATTCTACTCCCGAGGAAGGGAGCAGGAACTGAGAGTATTGTCTGGGTATATCCCATTTTTGAGAGTATTGTCTGGGTATACATCCCATTTTCCATGTCTGACCTCACACAGATTGAGAGTCATCTCAGGTCTTTTTCCACCGACCTGATCACCTTTACTAAAGAATTTAAGTACCTGACCCAGTCCTATGACCTAACCAGGCATAAGATCTAAGTCATCCTGTCGTCCTCTCTCCCCCCAGAGGAGAAGGAGCACATCTGTAGCAGCTCAGGAACACGCTGTGCCCTCCATAGACAGGACTCGGTGGCCAACCAGGTTGGCGCTAACACAATCCCCAGAACTGACCCAAGATGGGGCTATCAGGTTAATTCTCCAGGGCGCTGGCTCTGTAGCCTGTCTCATTGTCAGACTCAAAAGGCTGCCCATAAGGCAGTCAATTATGACAAACTTAATGAAATCACTCAGGGCCCTGATGAAAACCCAGCTCTCCTCCTCTCCCACATCACGGAGGCCTTACACAAATTTACCACCGTAGAACCCACCTCCCCAGAAGGAACCCTTCTTCTGAACACCCTTTTTATATACCAACCAGCCCCCCACATACACCATAAACTTAGAAAATTAGACACAGTCCACAACCCCCTCAAAAAGACCTCGTTAACCTGGCCTTTAAGGTCTTTAAAAAGACCTGAGATGCCTCTCAATCTGTGTGAGGTTGGACATGGAGCCCTAAATCCAAAAACAAAGATGAGATCAGGCCAAGGCTGAGACCCAGATGAAGGGCTTTCAGCTCCTAGCTACCTCTCACGAACTCCAAATGAAGTGCCGGTCCTCCAAACAAGGGTAAGTCAGGGGCTAAGACTCTACTGGGCCCATGCTTCCAATGCAACAAGGACAGACACTGGATCAAGTCCTCCTCAAACCCATGGGCCCTGCCCATGGTGTGGAAGGGAAGTCCACTGGAAATCAGACTGCAGTTTGGCCCCTCCAGGTCAGACATCAGCCAGTTCAGCAAGACCACCCTCTGGACCCGGTTTGGAGCCCCCAGACCTCCTTAGTGGCCACCGAAGACTGAAGCTACCCAGGCCCTGACAGGGTCCCACAGACTTACAGCACCAAGTCAGAGACTCAGGTAATGATGTGGTGGCAGGTAAACCAATCTCCTTTTTAACTGACACTGGGGCCACTTATTCTGCCCTCCCCAAATTAGCTGGGACCTTTGTCCCCTCTTTAGTCTCTATTACAGGGTTGACAGATTAGTCTTACAGCCATTAGCCACCTCACCTCTACACTGCATCTTCCTAAATATTCCCATTCACTATTTTCTAGTTCTACTCCAATGCCTCACCAGGGCTACCGCACATCCTCTTATCGCGCATCTT